TTCACCCTGTTCGGCTTATACCAGCTCAGGGCTATGCCCCAGCCACCTTCCAATGGATTGTAGATCACCTCCTAGATCGTCTAAAGGATTATGCTTGTGCATACCTGGATGACATAGCGATCAACAGCGAGATCTGGCAGGCTCACTTAGAACACATGGGGCCATCCTAGATAGGATTAGGGGAGCCGGCTTAACCTTGAAGTCAGACAAGTGTCACATTGGAATGGCGGTGGTGCAGTACCTGGGCCACCGTGTAGGATGTGGTAAGCAACGGCCCGAACCAGCTAAGATTGAGGCCATTGCTAACTGTTCACTCCCTGTACCAAAACACAAGTCATGGCTTTCTTGGGGACAGCCGGCTACTACAGACTACTACAGTTTTGTCTCAGTGTATAGCGCTATGGCCAAACCCCTGACACACCTGACTAAAAATAATTTACCTAAACAGGTCCTGTGGTCCCAGGAATGTGATACAGCTTTCCAATCCTGTCCTGGCTGTCCCAGATTCTAACAAGCGCTTTATTGTCCATATAGCGCTTCAATGTTTGGACTGGGGGCAGTTCTGAGCCATGTCGGAAAAGATGGGGGAGAGCATCCAGTGGTCTGTTTGAGTCGGAAACAGTTACCCTGGGAGGTCAGCTATGCGGCCATTGAAAAAGTGTTTAGCCCTGGTGTGGGCACTGAAGAAGTTAACCCCATATCTCTATGGCTGCGCTTTCACTCTCATCCTTACAGCCCTATGACTTCACCATACACTACCAACCTGGCAAACAGAACGGGCATGCAGACGGACTATCCCACCAGACCGAACTGGTAACTTAAGGAGTTATTGTACTGTCCGGACAGCCCCATGTTGACCCAAAAGGGTCCAACCGTGTTTGCCGGAGCTGTGAGCAAAGGGGGGGCAGTGTGAAGGCATAGCCTTCTTTCGGCACATTTCACGGAAATGGATTCATTTTTATTTTGTTCATTTATTTGGTTCGGTTCACGAACAAGGACCACCCCAGAGCCTCAATTAGAACTTGGAACGTTAAGTATCCTGTACGAAAACCGCAACGGAACTTATTAATAGAATGCTCCACTGCGTGGCCGTCATTTCGTGTAAGCGAACATACGTGGTCGGAACAATGGATGGAGACCATCTTGTCTCCCGTACACAGGCGGCAGGACTTGGACAAGTGCCTGGAATTGATTTCGGCCAGGCACTCCCGCGAACGCAGGTGAAGATGAACCTGCTGCCTGTTCAGGTTCCCCTACCCATATGCGGATGGCGTTCGGGAGATATGTACTACCGAAGAGCGGAGCATTCTACATTAATCCGTTTTGGTATAACGTATGTGGTTTTCGTACAAAACCCCATGAATGGAGACCGGCTCTTGGCACAACTATTTTGGGCTTCGATCTTGTGGCAGACCGGTCAAAACTTCCCCGCGATGCCGATCCAAAACTACCAAACAGATCAGAGTGATTTTTGGATATCATGTCATTCAGATCAGGGCTGTGGCGAAAGTGACCTCGCCACTGGTTTTTTGAGGGGACTATTTGCCAG